CCAAAAAAAAAAAAAAAAAAAGGCAAAAGGCAAAGCAAAGCAACCATTGACTGCATTAATTCGAGGACTCACTTGAATTATTTTTCTACTTATCATGTGATAATAAAAGATGTGTTCACTATGACCTCAGTACGATTTTTGTTACATTCCTGTCTTTTGATTAGCTTTTTATCTTATTTTACTATCAAGCAATAAGTGTACAATGAAGTTATGATTTAACAGCATATATTATAGCATCGGAAATTCACCATCTGTAGACGGTTATCAGACATTCAAACCTTCTTCAACAATGAGCCAACTATTCATGCTTAACCCCGCTGCTAATCTTTATTTAGAAGAAAGCATAATTCCTCAAGATAACTGCTTGAAAGAACATTCAATTTCGTCAATTCTCCCTAATTTGTAATCTGTCACCATATGCAACTCTCGTTACAATAGCTTTGAAATAAGACCAAAAATTTAAATTTTTATCAAATTAAATCGTTAACTCCCCTTACAACAGTAACTTTGCATAAAGCACAGTTCACAGAGGCAAATATCCTACTTAAACTTTTCTCCTCGTTAACTGTATAATTTACAAAATTTGGATTCTAGTGATCTGGGAAGACTCAATGCACTGATATACTTGAGAGTAAGTAGAATTAAGAGAAGTACGGGGAAATCGCAAACAGCAAATTAATAATAAGAGAATGAAAATCCCAAATTCCTGTACAAGTACAAGTTACACAGCAAAAGGTACCTCCAAATTCTTCACCCCAAAACAAGAGCCTCGAATCATCCTCTTCCTCATCAACCTCATCGTCATATCCCAGCTCCACATCACCCCGATACCCTGGCTCACTCCCATACCCAGATTCATTCCCATGGCTATCAAAATTACCTGATTGGCCATACCCACTAGTAACATTCTCCCTCTCACCACTCCCATTGCTCTCCCTCTCTCTCCTCGGATTCCTCGCCACCTCACTCACATCGGATGCCCAATTCGCATCCCCTCCACCGTTCACAAACAGCTCCCCACTCGAATCCGTTCCTCCGGCCACCATAGGGTGATCCGAAGCAGTCCCATAAGCCCTAGACGTCCCGACCGAGCAGCAACGCTGGCGAGTCCCGCTCCGATCGCTACTTCTCCCTGATAGAGACCTCGAGCCCCTACGGCGACGCTTCCGAGCGAACAACCGCTTATGAGCCGCCGTAAGCAGCCTATCGTCGTCAAAAAGGCTGAGCTTCGACATGTCAAGGACGGCGCCAATGGAAAAGGACGTAGTGCGGTCGGACCAGCAGGGTCGTTTGCCTTGGAGCCCAGTATAACCAGTACCGCCGGAGTTGGGTTTAGCGGAATCGGATTCAAGGGTTTTGCCAGTAGGAAGCTGAAAAGGTCTCCATGTCTGCAACTGGAATGCGCAGGATTCAACTGGGTGCCGTGATTCTAAGGATCCATGTGATATTCCATCATCGTAGATATACTTACTCATATTCATGATTGTAAAGGATTTCTTATTTTTGACGAAGAACCGTCCATGGAGATTCAACACACCTTTCTATGACAATGACCCTCAGATTTCGATCAAAAATGAACATTTGGTAATGGCCCACATCTCGTTAAATATTTCATTAGTCATCAAACTTGTGTCTTCATTGCGCTTTACCCATTGAATTTTAAATATTTTCAGAGTGATCATTAAACTTTAAAACACAAATCTCTATTACTCATTCAGCATATTTCATTAAAACAAATAACCAAAAAAATAAAGGACATAGCCACTACGACCAAACTTTGAAGATAATGTAAGCCCCTACAAAACCTAAAATATCTAAAGAACC